CCAGCAAATGGTGGCAGGAGGAGAATCAGAGGCTGGGCGCTTCCCCGAGTGTCTCGGGGCCTTTGCCAAAGGTGTGGGCTTCCACCCGGGGTCCCCCACAGCGAACCTGAACCCCCAAACTCCGCATCTGACTCTACAGACTGCGGTGTCTGCTTTTCCCTCTTCACTTCAACCGACTTTGGAGTTCAGCGCCCGACCGCTCCTGCCGGCCCCCTTCCCGAGGAGGCAGCGCCTGCTGTCGGGCCGCCGCCCCCGAGGGGGACGGAGGGGAGGGACGGTGAGAGGCTGGCCCGGGCCAGCAGCAGGACGGGGTCAGGACGCCGGGCGGGGCCAGGCAAGGAACAAAGAAACGAAATGGCCAGAGGTGGCAACCCCTCTCAGGGCTGGCCTGAGGCCCCTGTGTGGAGGTGTGCCCTAATCCCAGGCACAAAACTGGCCAGACGTGTTTGTGGTCCTCGGCGGCGTGGCAGGCTGTGGGGTGGGGGCTGGAGAGAGCGACTCTCGCCCACCGCTGCGCGGGGTGGATCAGCGCCCACGCCCTGGACTGACGGGGAAAACGTTTCCCCTTCTGTTTCAAGCGGAGACTGACTTTTTATGCTAAAATTGAAACCCACCCCCCATTTTCCTTTTGGTGCCATAGGAAGTCGCTTTGAGTTTGCGTTTGGCGGCTGAGATGGGTTTAAAACACCTCTCTGATTGCCACAGTGTGTAAGAGGAAGCCGGGTCCCAAAGAGAGAAAGCAATTGCCTAAGAGAACACAGAAACAGCCGGGCGGCTCCCTGCCCCACACCTCGCCCTGCAGAGGGAGGGACACCGAGCACCCCACCCGCCCGGAGAAGAGCGGGACCTGCACCGAGGGACTGTTCTTCCAGCAACTGCCCGAGCCACGGCCAGGCCTCAGAAATAAGAGCCCCAAGCGAGAGGAGGATCCCAGTGAAGCTTTGATCTCTGGGACAGGGAGCTCGTGACAAAGAAGCGGGGTCAGCCTGACCTTCAGTGATTCCCTCCCCCGCCCGTCCCACACCCTCGGCGGGGCCCAGGCTCAGGCCATCCTCCCTCCTCCCGCCTCTTCACCCGCAGGAGCTGCCTTTGCCCCTCCTGAAACCGTCCACAACGCGGTTCAGGATTTCTGAGTGTGTTCTCATCTGTGACCTGAATACCCCCTGTTTCTAGGCAGGTTGGATCCGTTTGCTTCCAGAAGCACCTGGAGGGTGGCAGGGAGACTTCTGTCACACAAGCCAAGCCCAGGTGTGTCGCAGCCCTCTGCCCCCGCTCCTGCCCTGCCTGCCACCAGCTCCCCGGGTCACCCTCCCTCGACGCTGGAGTGCACGGGACAGTTTGGACATGCGTGGCCACTCCGTCCGTCACTTGCAATTGGCTAATCTCTCCAGTACAAGGGTTTTCTCTTAGGACAGCTATACTCTTCCCCTGAGTCAGCCTGATTTCTTTTGGGAACACCGGGCCCAGTGGAAATATCTGACTAGACACGGGTTTCAAAAGTCCCCACTGGACTCCTGCTCCCTCGGTACATCAGGAGATAAGGCTGGACATCGCCGCCAGTGACAGTTAAGAACCTTCCCAGGGTTCTGTGGCAGTTGAGAAGCGGGTCGGCCTGCAGCGTGGACGCCGATCTCTGGGTCAGAGGGCATGGGGCTAAGGTTCCAAGATTCCTGGCCCCGGCCTTGATAAATGCCCTTTAGCACGTGTGTAGCAAACTGTGCGTCACTTTCAATTCATAGTAGATGTCTGGTCATTTTCAACGTGCCCATTTTGCTATTTTCCTACGAAGTCCTACCTGACTTCTCGCTATTCCCCTGCGTCCACACTTGGGCCGTGGGGGCCTCCAGACTGGGTCCCGGAGTTCAGGGGCCCGACTCTCGTGCCAGTGAGGCCCCCTGCTGCGTGGGGTGGCATGTGGGGCCCAGGGCAGGGGCAGGGGGAGCACAGGGACAGCTGCCCGCACAGGGATCCGGGCCCCGGGCAAAGGCTGGGGTCATGATGGGATCAAAATTCCATCAAGATCTGACAGTAAACGTAGGCAAGAAAAGGACACAATTTTTTTAAAGGCTAAAAGTTAACCATTTTCCTCTTCATAGAATGTTTTCTTCATTGTTTCTTTTTTTGGAAATACAATACAGATGAATACATAAAACCCTCTGTGCAGTATAAAGGATAATTGTTAAGCAAACAGCTATGTGACATGTGTTTTCTGCACAGGCGGAATCTAGCCCGTGGCTTTGGAGTGACCTGCGCAGGGCGGAGAGTGCCACGGGCGGCTGGAAGGTGTAGACGTGTGGTGGTTCGGGTTCGGGGCAGGCGGAGAGGAGGTGGCGATGCCGGCGTGTGGTCACTCCGGGGTGCACGTCTTCAACCGCCAGGAGAGACGTCCCCAGGAAGGCGGTGCCGAGAGCGGCAGACCCAAGAGTGTCCTGGCACCTTCGGGTGACCGCGCAGGGCGCCCAGTCCCGCTGAGCCTGGCTTTCCCAGCTGCCGAGCAAGGGTCACGGTGCCACCTCTGCCGGTGCCACGGCAGCCTTGAGAAGGGGAGAGACACGACTCACGTCAACTCTTTGAAGACTGAAATAGTATTGAATTTAATTCCACCGTTCAGTCTTATTTTCCCATTATGTGAGGTGCTGCTGCTTACTATTGCACAAAAGTGACTTTTGGAATCTGATGGTAGATCTTAATTGTCATGGGGAATTAGGACAGGTGTGGGAAATTTTAACAATCTTTCAAAACATCTGGTGCAGATTAGCTGAGGAGTAGCCGCGGCAACGGTTTGTGAGAATCAGAACAGCTGTCAGGATGGAAACCGGGTTTTCAGCTTTTCCACCTGCTACAAACACACAGCTCTCCCGCTTACCTTAGAAGGGTTCCACTTGCTCTTTAACACTGGAGTTTCTTTCTTCTTCTTCTTTTTTTAAATACAGGTCAGGAGACACTCACTTGGTTGGCTTTGCTATCAAAGGGCTGTTTGTTTTTATTCCACCGGGTTGTGTTGGACTCGGGTCTCTGTGGTCTCTGCCTTTGACTGAAGGGAGAGTGGTCCCTGGTCCCCATTTTGGCAGCCATTTTGTTAGGTTTTATGCACCCATAGTTTTATTCCAAATTTTACAATTAAATAGAGTGCATCTGTAAAGGAAAAAGAGACATTACAACTCTAGCTTTTTTTTTTTCTTTTAAAATTCTAGGAGCCAATTAACGAAAGCTGTAGTTTTAGTATGGCTTACTGAGCCAACATGTAGGGTATCTCTTACAACTTTCCCACTCAGCCTAGCTGAAAGTGGCCACCAGAATTTTGAAGAGTGCCCGGGCTTTGAAGTCAGGCAAACCAGGATTAAATGTTGGTATATATCCTTCTGATTATTTTTCAGTGTGCAAATCCACACAGGCAAAATAAATCCATGCTTTTTCTTTTTACAAAAGTAGGATCAGATTGTATAACTTGTTTAGGAATTTGCATTTCCACTTAATTATTTATAACAAATATTTCCACATTGCTAAATATTCATCTGCAGCTTATAATGACTGCATAGTATTTTTTGTATATATTTAACTAACCCTCCATTATTTACTTAGATTGTTTTTAATCGTTTGCTTTTATGAATAATTCTGCAATTAGATGCTATTTAGTGCTTATTTCTCTTTATTTCACGAGTATTAAGGACAGACATAGGAGTCTTTTTCAAAATGTATAAATATTTTTAAAAGTTTTTCTTAATACTGTGAAATAGCTTCGAAAAAGATTGTCGAGAAAGGGGAGAGAACAGTACTTTTGTACTGATGGGAATGACTGACCGAGGGGAGAGAAAAACTGATGATCAGAGAAGGAAGAGTACTGGGATCAATGTCTTTGAGTAAGCTGCAAGAAATGGGATCTTTGTGCTTATGTTAGTCCATTTTGTGTTGCTATAAAGGAATACCCGAGGCTGGGTAATTTATAAAGGAAAAAAGGTTTATTTGGCTCACAATTTTGATGGCTGGAAAGTTCAAGTTTGGGCATCTACATCTGGTGAGGGCCTCAGGCAGCTCCCACTCATGGAAGAAGGCCAAAGGGAGTTGTTGGGTGCAGAGATCACATGGCAAGAGCAGAAGCAAGAGACAGTGGGGAGGTGCCAGGCTCTTTGTAACAACCAGCTCTAATAGAACCAATAGAGTGAGAACTCCCCCCCAGGGTGGGCATTAATGAATTCATGGGGGATCTGCCCCCATGGCCCAGGCACCTCCCATTAGGCTCCACCTGCAGCATAAAGTTCACAGGAGACAAACGGCCAAACCCTTGGCCATGCCCCAGGCTATATGTTGTGTCAGCTATGGAAGAGATATGGAAAGGGAAGAAGGAAAGGGAAAAGCTATGGAAAGGGAAGCCCCTGTCCCAGTGGCTGGATAGAGAGACCAGACAATGGTGACTAGAATATTAGCAACACCCTTGAAGCTGTCTGGGCTCCTCCTGGTTTCCATCCATCCCCTGGCTTGGGCATCCAAACTGTTCTCATCAATACGTGGCTTCCAACACTGAGTGCACAGTAGCTGCTCTAGCTGTTGTGTACCCCAGCCACTGGGACAGGGGAGGAGGAATTTGGAACCAATGTCTTTAAAGAGATAGTCTGAAAGTTGCCTGAATCACTTCTCTACCTATCTGAAGAGAATAGACAATGTACATAGCTGGGTGGCCATGCGTCCAGCTAAACTTGAGGATACTCTGTTCCTACAAAAAAGAATAGGCTTAGGGACACTGGGGACAGTTTGCAGGCAGTAGGTTCCATATAGTGTATTCACATGTTCAACTTTACAAGACAATGCCAGAGTGTTTTTAAGAGTGCTTAAATCAATTTACACCCAGCAACAGGGCATACAATTTCTATTCGCACACATCATCAACATTAATTGCAACTGTCAGGTGTCTGTTTTAAAAACACTTAACATGTGTAAAGTGATATTTCATAATATCTTAAGTTGCATTTCCCTGTTTCCTAGTGAGGCTGAATATCTGATGTCCACTGGAATTTTTTCTTCAGTGAAATAAATACCTGTTCAAATCTTATGCCCATTTTATCACCGTTGGGTTGTTTATCTTTTAATTCATGTTTAAGAGGTTTTAAGACTTTTGTATAAAATTCTCCATAATGACTATTCATCAGCTGTGTGTGTTATAAATACTTTCTTCCTTTTCCGGCTCGTCTTTTCACTTCATGACATCTTGTGTTTAACACAAGTTCTTCATTTTAGAGTCACGATAATTTTACAGCACCTGGAATCCTATGAAACCATTATACTCCTCTTTCCCCAACGGTGACATCTTGTATAACTGTAGTACAATGTCAAAACCAGGAAGAATGGTACAACACTGTGAACTAGATTACAGACCTTATTCAGTTATCACCAGCTTTTGGATGATCTCATTGTGTGTGTGTAACTTACACAGTCTTATAGGCAAATTCTACCAAACTTTCAAGAAACAGATTATTCCAATTATATATTAGATTGTATCACATGAAATGTCAATATTTGGCAAGTCAAAAATTGACTGAGTAGTAATAAATTTGATATAAATATGATTCCAGTTGTAATATTGAGAATTTACAATATTATGCTCTTCAGTTTTGTCTGACTATTGAAGTGATTTTTAAATTGTTTTTATTTTTCCACAGAAGTAAACAATGTGGTTTCTTTGAAAGAAATGCAAACATTTTTGTATATCAATTTATATTGGAATATCATACAGTTGAGGCAGCTAGAAGTATCCTTTGGCCTTTGAAAAAAGCTCTTTTAGTAAAAAGATTATCTAACAATAGTTGGAAAGTTTTATTCTAGGAATTTGATTTTCACAATTGAGCCTCAAAATATATCCAAGTCTGTCTTAAGTAAAAATCAATTCAAAGTTAACTCACCAAAAACTAATTAAGAGATTTATAGCATACTACAAAGCAGACTACTGTCTACTAAGACAGTAAATCAATTCCTGGCTACAGTAGGGAAAGTGAAAAAATTGGACAAATGACTCTAAAATTATTTCAAAATAAAAAGCTAAAAATACATGTGCCTGTTGTTTCTCACCTTTATTTTCATTTCATGTATTTTTAAATGTTTTTGTGAAATACAGATACAAAGTGTGTAGCATTTACCTCTCAATCCACCTCACTGTTGATCACACTAACCAGAAAAAGGGTCCCTTCCAAGGCTCATGTCAAAGAAGCAAAGTTGTAACATCTATTTTTCTCAAACTTTGCTCTGCAGAATTTGATTTTTATGACAGCAAGAATCAAGAGTATCCATGGTTGTTGGTTATAAAAAAAAAGTCCCAAGAAAGTTACCCACAGTTCTTTGTCAGCCATCTTAACTCTAAATTAGTATAAATAATCTAGTTTTGATTATAATTAAAGTGACCAGAATGGATGGTGCTGTCCACTCAATGGTGTCCAAGGAGCTTCGTAAGGATGGTAGTTTAACGTTAACCCATCGACAGGAGGTAATACTTGGAGTATCATTGCAGCAAATCCTCTCACAAACTTTGCATCCTTGGGTTTCTAATACCAATTAATATCCCTTTTATCCATCTGCTGCCACTGCTTCACAATTCCACTTCCAACCCCTGGGGTTTCAAAGATTACTCTATGCTCTAACCTAAAGTTCCCTTTGTTCCCAGGTGAACAGGCATCTTTGCAACAGTCTGGAGGAAACCTTCTTGTCCTCTCTCCCA